AATGCTCGACCATTTTATTCCATCTCATTATAGATTAATTGTAAAAGCAAATCTCCAACAGCCAAAACCTACCTAACCATTCTTTCTCAGGCTTTCTCAAGCAAGTGCTGTTATTCTGTGTGTCCAGAGAGAAGCACCGATTATGGCACACTGTTATTCTTTTACAGAGAATCCTGGCCATTGTTACACGCAAATTAACACTAGAGTCACTGCGAGCTTCTATGTTGCCCCCCCCCCCCCGAAAGCAACAAAAAGTGGCTGGTATGTTGGTGCAGAAAGCTACCTCATGTAACGCCAGCATGCCACATAAGTGGCATTTGAAGTCTTGACTGGTCCACTTTCAGTTCCCTTCCCCACTAATGTGCACAGAATTGTAGCAGAAGATGGTCTAGGTGCCTGGGCCCCTCCAGCCATGTGAGAGACCCGGATGGGGCTCCAGGCTCCTGGCCTCCTCACTCTCTGTAACTGCTGATCAAGTAGATACATATTTTAAAAACAATTAAAAACGCAATGGTAAGCTTAAGTGAAGAAAAAAAGAGAAAAGCTGTTCAAGATTTGTACAATGACTCAAGGAGATATAAATCCACACCTCAGCTTCATTTCTATCCATCCTTATCGATTTAGAAAGTAGTATTCATTAAAGATCATTTTCTATTAGCAGAATCAATATCAGCCTATCTGTAATAAAACTAAGCTTACACTTCACAGCATTAATGGAGCTCTCTGCTCCCCAGAGCCAGGGGAGTGAGTCTGTGAGTCCCTGGCTCGCAGCTCCCTTCTCTAAGGGAGTGAGTGAGGATCTTCACTTGGAAGTACAGGGAAGGTTTGCCACGCCATCCAGGCAGGCCCGAGGCAGTGGAGGCTCAGAGGCTCAACAACCGAGGGCAATGGGCTGGAGGGAAAAGGGACCTGAGAGGGCTTTTGGAATTTCTAGTAGTAAGTGATTTTGTTTGCTTTGTTTTTAAAGATCTATGCATTTTTATTGGAAAGGCAGATTATACAGAGAGAAGTGGAGATAGAAAGATCTTTCCATCCATTGGATCACTCCCCAAGAAGCTGCGATAGCTGGAGCTGAGCTGATCCAAAGCCAGGAGCCAGGAGCTTCATCCGGGCCTCCCACACAGGTAGGTACAGAGTTGCGAGGCTTTGGGCCATCCTCTACTGCTATCTCAGGGCCATAGGCAGGCAGCTGGATGGGAAGTAGAACAGCCAGGATATGAACTGGCATTCATATGCGATGTTGGTGCTTGCAGGTAGAGGATTAGCCTGTTGGGCCACCATGCTGTTCCCTTGTTCTTTTTTTTTTTTTTAAATTCCATTTAATTTTTATTTTCCCAGAAAGACAGACAGACAGACAGAAATGGTGGCAGGAGAGACACTTCTTTCAGCTATTAGATGACTCCCCAAATGGCCACAACAGCCACAATTAGGAGGAACCTGGAACACAATCCAGGTTTCCCAGGTGGGTGCAAGGACCTCAAGTATCAGAGCCGTCACCTGCTGCCTATTGGGGTGCACATAAGCAAGAAGCTGGGTCAGAAGCACGGAACCCAACACTGAAACCAGCAACTCTGACATGGGGTGCAGGCATCCCAGGGGGGTGACTTAACCACCGTGCCACATGCCCGCTCCCTGTAATTCTGACCAACTGTTGGGTAGATGGGATACCCAGGTGGAGGCTGCTAACGACCAAGTTATGGTCCTAGGTCCTGGGTGGTCTCGGGGAGGAGAGCCTGTCTTCCCTTCCCTGCTTGTGGGCGAGTGAGTGCCAGCATGCGTCTCGGCTTGCTCAGCCTATGTGAGGGGCAGCAGGAACATACTTACAGACTTAAGACCACCCCTCTCCCACCTTGGTTTTGGTGTATGCCTTGAGACTCTTGTCTTGTCCTGATGGTGCCTTGAGACCCCTGTGGACCCATGCAGGTAGCAAAAAGCTCAAAGCCCTCCAGGAATTTCCCTCCCTCTCAGCCTCTTCCGGTAATTTGGCTGCCTCCTCCCCCTGTCCACCCCAGTCCATTCGCATCTTGCAGTAAACTTGTGATAGTCTTACAATAACTCCAGGATGCGGGTGAGTTACATAAGTTGTGGGGGGCTACAGAGTGCCACCTGGCAAAGTACATGACAGTTGTACTGAATGGCTAGGCTTATAATATGGAATAGATATTTATATCCAATAGGAATATTGTTACCATCCTGAGGCTTACTTCCCCTGGCCTTACCTTATATAAGCTTGTGCTTGGTTGCTAATGAATTGATAAGTTCACTGTAACTGTCTCCGATTCTTCTCTATTGAGAACGCTGTAGGCACACCACACTCTCTGGGTGGATGACCACGACCGAGGAGACCCCTGCACCCTCTTTTCATGCCTGAGTCTCCCCTTTCACTTTTAGCCTCAGAATTGCTCTCTCTTTCTTTTGACTGGAGCTAATTTTCTTCTTCATAAATATTCGCATCAGTTTTATCACAGTTGTACATGAACACCACAATTCCTTATCATTATCCAATGTCTAAAGTTCATGATGGATGAAGACTTTTGGTGCTGTGGCTAAGACCCTACCAGGGACACCCACGACCACTCTCAGAGTGCCTGGGCTGGAGCCCCCACTGCTCTCCTGACTCCAACTTGCAACCAGAGCCCATCCTGTAAGAGAACAGGTGCTGGTGTGGGAAATTGGGTCCATGCCACTCATGTTCCCTTGGGGAGACCTGTAGTGTCTCCAGCTCCTGATTTTGGCCTGGCTTAGTCCTGGCTGCTGTGGGCATTGAGGAATGAACCAGGGGATGGGAGACTCCCAGACATTCAATTTAAGTAATTAATTCAAAATAGACTTGAGGAGTTTAATCTTCTGTATTTCTCTCTAAAGAGTCAGTCTCTAAAAAACACTTCTAATTGTCCATGACCTTCACGTTGTTTTCCTAAAGATACTCCTAAAGAAAAAAAAAAATGAAATGTTTCTATTTCCCCAAATAAAAGCTATCCTTCCACGCCCAGAGATTGGCTACTTACCAAAAAAGAACTCACACTTATTCATGCAAATTTATACCTGTCTAATTAGAGACTACGCAAAGATAAATCCTGTCACTGTGTGGGTTTTGAGAAGGATCTTCCTGTACTAGACTTTTATTTTCAAGATAAAAACGGTGCCGTTGGAGAGTGCAGAAGCATTCTTAAAATGGCCAAAAAAGGTTGAAAATACTCCAACAAATATATATATATATTTATACAAAATAAGCAGTTCAATAGCATTTTGGAAACACAAGTGTAGCCGCCTTGAAAGATGTTGCACCTGCAGGCAAGAAGGCGAGCAATCCAGATGATTTTCAGTGAAAACAGTCACCTCTTAAGGCTGTCACCCACAATGAGGCACACTCGGATTTTTCCAGCAGGGAAATAGAAATGTAGAATGTTATTACTCTCCTGCCCTCAGACCCCTGTGGGAGTAGGCAAAGCAAAGGAAGTGGCCCTTGTGACTTCCGCTCCGTTTATCCTCCACAGGTTCCAGTCTGGGCAAGCTGCCCCCTTACTCCCCTTTTCGCTTTCCGTTGCTCATCCCACTGAAGGGATTTCATTCCCGGTGGAGACTTTGAATCCCTATTTCCAGTCTCCTTGGATCAGGTTAACATCCACCCCCAAGAGGAAGGTTTGAAAAAAGTTATGTTTTAGTCAATCCTTTAGAATGTTTTACGAGATTCTATAAAGCACTACACCAACATAAAGTGATCCAAATGTTTTCATTTTAGTCAAGGTCCCACGGAAAGCAGGTTGGCTTTTCTGTGCTTCTTTGAACAGAAGTGAAAAGGGGTGTGATGTGTGTGTGTGTGAGAGACCTAGGTGAAAGTTACTTCAGGATATTACTTTGTTGTAAATCCAGACACAGATCACTGCAGGCATAAGAGCTTCATTTCTGTGACTGAATTCATGCTTACAGTACTTTAATTGTATTCCTACAAATGAATATGCAGTACTTTTTTTCTGTCTGGTGCCCATGTGGTGTGGTGTAAATATCAACGTTAAGTGAAACTGCGCTCAAGCTATATAGATGAGGAACATGATTCAGATGCGTTCCAGCGACGAAAGCTCTGTTCTGGACAATCAGGTGTTCTGCTACCAACGCCAGCGGAGCTTCCTAGGGAACATTCCTGCTTTGCGGTTCGTCGAACTCAAAACCACGGGTTTTCGGGTCACCATCCTCAGGCCCCCTCCAGCCGCCGCTCAGCGCCGAGTTTGGACCGCCGCCAACGCGTTGGGGAGGGGGAGCACGCGGAACGAACCACCGAGCTCCCGGGAGGGGTAGCGGCAATGGTCACCCTCCCACCACCAAGTAACTCCGCACCCGAGTTCAAACGCTCAGAGAACTGGGGTTTCTACCTCCACCGGTTCCAGAAGTCAAAACCGCGACCATTTTCCGCCCCCCGCTCCCGCAGCCCCTTCCAGAAGGCCAGAAGAGGGCTCCGCAACCCCTTGTGGAGGCGGCGGCCCCGCTCCCCTTTCCAAACGCGCGCGCGGAGTGGCCTCGCCCGCCGCCAGGCGCAGCTGCTCCTCGGGGTTGGGAAGCCGGGCCCGCCCCCGCCGCCCTCGTGCCGGGTACCTGCGCCCGCAAGTTCCAGGCACGCAGCGGGCGCGTGGGCTTCTCGCCCGAAGACTTTGTAATGGGCGCCTTTACGCAGGGGGCGGGTCGCCCCCTTTTGACCCCGGGCAGGTGAGGGTCCGGTCCGTAAGACCACCCGCTATCCGGGCCTGCTCCGGCACCGGGGTCGCCGCTGCCCCCGCGCGCCCCTGAGCGCCACGCAACTGCCCGGAGTTGGGGTTCCTGGGGAGGGACCGCCAGGCTACCCCAGCCCGGAGCTCCGCCAACTATCCCCGCAGGCAGCCCCTACTTCCTCCGGGTTAACCGGCATCAGGGGTCACTCGGGGAGGCGGCGGGCCAAGGTGGGCTTCTTCTCGACCACTTCGGGCGCGTCCGAGGCGCCCAGCGCGGGGAGGCGCACGGGTGGGGAAGGGCGCCCGCGAGCGCAGTCTGGACCGCCCCGAATCCCCGGGGAGCCCGCCCGAGGGAGGCGGCCGGGGGGCGGGCGGGCTGGGCGGGGGCGGAGCAGACTCTCCCGCCGCCTCCTCCCGGTCCTCCTCTCGGCGGCTGCTGCCTCCGCCGGGCTGAGGAGCCGGGAGTCCGCGGCGCCGGCTCGGGGCTGCGGGATGGGGACCTAGCGCCACGGCGGCGGCAGTGGCCGCAGCGCAACCAGCCGCCGCCCCCGGGCCCGTCCCGCCGGGAGCGCCGGGTGCTGCCAGCCCGCCCCAAGGCCAGGCCCGCGGGCGGCGGCGACGGCGGCGGCGGCGGAGCTGGGCAGGTGGATGCGGCTGGAAGATGGCGCCCTCGGGCCCGGGCAGCGTCAGGCGGCGGTGCCGGCGGGTGCTGTACTGGATCCCGGTGGTGTTCATCAGCCTCCTCCTGGGCTGGTCCTACTACGCCTACGCCATCCAGCTCTGCCTAGGTGAGTGTGCGCCGCTCCCGGCCCGGGAGGAAAGCGGGGACGCCGTCCTGTCTGCAGCCCGGACTCGCCCCGCACCCCACGCGACAGCGACAGTCCCAAGACGCGTGGGACTTGGCTGGGTGGGGTGTGGGGTCCGGAGCTCTCAACAGCGCTTCCAGTCGCCCAGCTGGGAGACTCCCCTGTGCCCAGGGCCGCTGTCCACTGTCCGAGTCTCCGCCGCCCTCGCAGCCGCAAACCACCTCCCTCCCAGCCACCTCCTTTCCCTCGCACACCCCTGCCTTCGCCTCACAACTCTCTGGTGACGGTGTCACCTCCACCCCAATTGAGGGCACCCCAGCTGCCTGCCTAAACGCAGCCACACCCCCTAACCCGCGGGACAGCGCCCGGGACAGCAGTGCACCCCAGCAGAGGTGAAGGCGGGCATGCCGTGCTGGAGGCTTGGAGGGCTCAGAGCTGGGCCCAGGATCCGAGCTGCCCCAGGCGCGCGCGGGCGATGCTGGCCTCGGTGGCAGCGCTGGATCCCTCTCTGGCTGTGCTTCATCCACTTTGAGAAAATTTGTGGCAAGGCGCATGTCTTGCTGCCTGAATGATATTCGGTGCAACACTTTCTAGTGAAAAAAAGGGACGAGAGGGGTGTGTGTGAGGCACTGGGAAACCGCGATACACAAAACCATGATTTAAATGTTGGAATAATAGGGTGAGAAAACGACATGATCCTCGGAGGTGTTTACAACCAGGGAACCAAGTGACTCGGTGCCAAGTTCTAGTCCTGAATGAGTAGTCGGATACTAGCAATGCTGAAGATTAAAAAAAATATATATATATATGTACAAGGGGATGCAGTGATGTCGATTATGCACATTTACATGTTTCAAAGCTTGGGGAAACTGGTTTGGGAAACCAGGGAAAGAAAGTTACAGCAGAGGGTGACCTTTTTGCCAGTGACTTTTCAATGCTTTCCATCTTGGACATTCCACCTAACGAAGTGTCTCTTCTGGCAGTTAGCTAATACCAATCTTGAGTGGGACAAGGGCAAAGATTAATGATCTCTTTGGTTGAACCTTCATGGCTTAATCATCTGTAAAACTTCAAAATGCATACAGTCTTGTCTGAAGCCATCTTACCTCAAAACGTTTTGTGAAACATCGTGTCAGAATAATGCACAAAATGAATTGAGATTACTTGCCCATTTCATAGGTCTTACAGTTTTAAAATTTGCCTTGAATATTTTGCTTATTAGATTTAGAAATTTTTAATGCAAAGAAATAAGTTTTTTTTTTAAAAGGATTGAATTGTGCTCTTCTTCATGACAGGGCAGCTGCTTTTATGTTGTTCAAATCATACAAAATGTGAAAAACTTACCCGTGTATAGCAAGAAGCATGTTGCGGTTTCCGCACTGTGTTTTATTGAGATACACTGTAATGTTATGTAACTGTCTCATCCCTTTGACCTCTTGAAAACAGTAAACAGTATCCATCTATGTATCTGGTATAAAAGAGGGACCTCCTGAAAAGTCTTTATTATCAAAATAGGCAGCTTATTGTCCTGTATTAGCACACTGTCCTAAGCAGCTTAGCCTGGGACTGTCTCAGGTCCATCAGCGGCCATGCTGAAAGCCAGGGGAGCCTGTCTGGGATGCTATATGGGAGCTGACTGTAGGAGGACATGAATGAAAACTTGCTATTATATCTGGATCATATGTATGAGATGCGTATGTATATATCTTGTCTGTCTATTTACATAGGCTCTTTGTAAGGTTGAGACAAAGCTGAAGTACCACCCTGGAATCCACATTACTGTTTCAGTAAGTGGCAGTTTCACTAAGAGAGCTGATGCCTCTTGCTTAATTGCCTGATACGGCCTGTTATGGATTGTTCACCTGCTGATCATGAGTCAAGTCTTCCATCATTGCTTGTCGCGGCCTCCCTGGCCTGGTGCAGTGCTCACCATATCAAAAGCAATCAATAAATGGTCTTGAATAAGCAAATAAATGATTCAGAGGCACTAACTCCTACCTTGTCGAAAGTTGTTTTTAGTGTTATGTTGTTGTGGGAACAAAAAGTAAGTCATCATTATGGAAGGTGTGTTCCCTGCGTTCTAGACCACAGAGCAAGTTGAGAATGAGTTGGATGCTGGACACTGGCCGATGAGAGGCGCTACCTTGCGGGAGCCTGGTGAAGGGACACCTCCTCTCTAGGTGCAGGCACACAGAAACCAGGCTCCACTGCTCTTCACAAACAAAGCAAATGGGAATGCCAGCCCCCACCCCCAGCACTCATCACATCTCACACTGCCTTGCCCTTCAGGGATTTTTTTTTCTCTTGAAAGTTGCTGTTTAAAGCCACATTTAACAGTATTCTCCTATGAAAGACTGGCCAGGGTTGTGACATGCAGGCTGGGGTAAGGTAACCAGCAGAACAGAACCCGCAGGGTGACCTGCCCTAGTCTCCCTTCCACCTCTGCTGTCAGTCAGAGATGACCCTGGAGGTGAATTACTCAGTGCCCTCTGCTGAATGAACTGCAGTTTAGGAGTAGTGCTTATCCTGGTATCCTTGGAAACGGGGGATAATGATTCTCATTACAGTTAGTTTCTATATTTAACAACATGAATGTATGTGGTTTTCTAGACACTTTTTCTATTAGCATAATTTTTGCTTAGCACTTGTATTTTATAAAAGTAACTCCTACCTCTTCTTGCAGTATAAACCCAAGGTCACTTCAGAAAGTTCTTGGAAAAGGGAATTAAAACCTATGTTTATGAAGGTACAAAGAGAGTTTGAAGTCCGTGCCTAGTTTTTTTTTTTTCATAATATGCGTCATTTACTTATTGAAGATGTTTGGTGCATGGATTTCGGAAAAATTTTGCATTCAAATAAGCTTTATCTTTTGATTCAATTTTACACACATTGCTTGGAGGACCACTGTATCATATGTGGAACATACATATGGTGTGTAAGAGTCAAATGTTTTAGATGTGTCTGCTTCCTGTTCTGGCAAAGAGAAGATCAGCTGGGACTGCTGGGCCTGAGGTCATTTGGAATGTGTCTGTCTAGTTTGCTGATTAACCAGACAGTCCTTCCCCCATCACTGCCTCTCCCTCCTCACTTCTTTTTCCCTTGAAGTCCTCTTTCTACCTCTTGCTTCTTTGTGTCCTACGTGTGTTTTATCCCCTTAATTATCAGCTGGCCCATTTTCTGTACAGTAAGTAAATTAATTGGGTAAAGTATGGGGTTAGGTACTGTAGCATAGCAGGTTCAGCTACTGCCTATATTCCGTATCTAGTGCTGATTGAGTTCTGGCTGTTGGTTCAACTTTGTACTAGTTTGCCTACGGTGGTTTAAATACTTTAGTTCCTGCTAGCTATGTGAGACCTAGATGGAGTTCCTAGCTCCTGTCTTTGGCCTGGCCCAACCTTGGCAGTTGTAGGCATTTGGGGGAGTGAACAACTAGACAAGCAGTCTCTCTTGCTCTGCTTTTCAAACAAGTAATGCGTGAGTATCCTCTGCAGCCTCAATGATAAATATTCAGTGGACACACTGGGCCTGGTTTTGTATGTTTTTTTTTAAAGATTTATTTTTATTATTTTTTTATTGGAAAGACGGATATACAGAGAGAAGAGAGAGAGAGGAAGATCTTCCGTCCAATGATTCACTCCCCAAGTGAGCGCAACGGGCCGATACTATGCCGATCCGAAGCCAGGAGCCTCTTCCGGGTCTCCCACACGGGTGCAGGGTCCCAAAGCTTTGGGCCGTCCTCGACTGCCTTCCCGGGCCACGGGCAGGGAGCTGGAAGGGAAGCGGGGCTGCCGGGATTAGAACTGGCGCCCATATGGGATCCCGGGCGTGCAAGGCGAGGACCTTTAATCACTTGCGCCACCGCGCCGGGCCCCGGTTTTGTATGTTTTACAGATGCCTTTCGGTGGGTAGCATGTTAACCTGGCCTGTTGAAGAAGATCGTTGAGGCTTTTCTTTTGAAGTACCAACATTTAAAAATATAACTATTCTATACCATTATATTTTGTGTAAATTTCAATCTTCCTAAACGTTTGAGGAATGCTGCCCAGTAACTTCCACATATTTTTGTTTAACCACTTTAGTTCCCACAAAATGCATTGCTTTTCTGGCTTCCCGTTTAGGCAGATCCTCTGATACATTTGTTATGCTGTGCACTGACTATGTGCTTCCAAGTTTATAGTTTTGCTAAAGTAATTCAAGCAAAGATGAAAATGGAAAGGCCAGAGCATCTGTGCCAACCCCTTCCTGCATTTCAGGTAAAAAGATACGGTTTCAGGCTTGCGACAATGTCTGGGTCCTTTTCGCATGGTCCCCAGGAGAGGTGTTTGCTATGATTTTCAGTACTGTAGTGCCAGGGTCCCAAAATGTCCCCTCTTCCTCCAAACCGTTTACCAAATCTCCCCAGACCAACCAAGTTGTGTGCCAAGTCTTAAGACTTTGTTATTAATTGTTCAATAAAAGTTAACAGAGCTCTTGAAGTAAGTGAACAGCCTTTGCACAGCATTACTTTAGAGTTTTAGAAGACTGTAATTTGGGCCAATTAGTGATTATTTTGACGTTGCAGGCTGTATGGTCTTGGTGGCAGCTGCTCAACCCTGCTGTTGCAGAGAGCAGCCATAGAGAACTCGTTAACAAATGAGCACAGATGTTATTAGCAGTAGCTGATAGGCCAGTTTTGGTCCTCATGCAGCGGTTTGCTGACCTTAGGAGAATGAGATTATACCATTGGGATATCACTTCGCTTAGAGTCATTTGGTCTTTGTGAATAAATATCCCTCAACATTCGTTGTAGCTTGCTGTATTCCACAGCGGCTATTGAAGATGTCTGGGAATTAAAAGGATTAGGCTTGGGGATCCGTTTGAAGGTCGTAGAGCCATTCTTTTTCCTTCTTTTAAGAAAATGAAGTATCCCTAGGGTTAAACTACAGAAAACTTTATACTTCATGAAACTATAATCTGTTACTAATTCAAGGCCACTGCAGATT